AACAACAATAATCAGCTTTATATTTACAAAATTTTCACAGGACTAGTTTCGATAGTTTTATCAAACCACCATCCTCAGCTGCAAAACCTCAAAATTTTTGACTCAGCATCCTCGCATTTCAATTGCGGTTTTGCAGCTGAGGATGGTGGTTTGGTAAAACCATCGAAACTAGTCCTGTGAAAATTTTGTAAATATAACGCTGATTATTGTTGTTTGACTTCTGAATTAGTATTTATTTGGCGTGTTATTGTGTCTTAATTATAGAAACTTAAATGTTTAATGTAAGTATACACTATGGGATAGAACTTTAATAAAAAGATGACATATGCTACACTGATTAAAAGAAATCACTTTCTTGTATTCAAAATGATATTCTTTCTTTACTTTTCCCCCATCACTCCATAGGCAAAAAGAGCATAAAATAATATGGTATTATTCTGTTTTGAGGACCGTAAAAAAAATGCAGCGAAAATATATGCGCAAAAGCGCCAAATCTTGCGTACGCACTGATTTCAGATTGATAAGTTTATATAGTTCTATATTTTTAAGACGCCATTGAAATACTAGTTTAATTTTTAAATCCTTTTTTGATATCCTATGGATTTAACAATTTGGGAATTGCCCATGATGAAAAGTCTGCAATAGAATTTTGGGTAAAGTGCAGAATTACCCACTGTTTGACGCGTTTTTAAGAATTGCATATACTCGGTATCCAGGTACACAGCGACCTATTTTCACTTTAAAAAAAATCCCAGAATTGCACAAAAATGGCACTGCGTGCACGCTTGACTTTATCTATGTACACATCGACCCATTTTCACTTAAAAACTAAAAGAAAATTGACAAAAATTCAATTTTTTTTTACCCTTGTATAAATGGCAAACAAATAAGTGGGCGATTCTGCACTTTACTGAGAATTTTTTGAAAGACAAAGCATCATTCATTATACAGTCAAAAGTCGTTAATCCGGACTCGTCGGGACTTCGGCGATTCCGGATTATCGATTTTTCCGGATTATAGATCATCAGTTTAAATCTGGTAAGATGGCATGCAGAAATTACAAAATTAAAAATATGAAACCGTAGTTTATGAAATAAAGAACAATTATGATCTAAAGGGTATCAAAATTTACAAAAAGAAAAAGCTTAATATTTATTTGTTTACTTTATTAAACATTTCCTTCAATGTAAGTTTGCTTCGTTTCATGTGATAATACTTTCTCTTTAATTCTATTAAACAGACATAATTTCTTTGTTTAGTTACAAAGTTCCGCTGTTCAAGTCCTATAATTGCTGTGTTGAGAATACCGACTAATTTGTCAATCGAAATGTTTTCGTTTTCAATAACCTCTGGGTCACTTTCTTCACTATTGGAAGCGAATTATAATAAAGAGGAACTTGATTTAAATCATATCAAAGACGGAGTATATCGAGATGAAATACTACACTTAGTACGGAATTATAAACCAAATAAAATAAAAAACATCTGCTCTGAAGATAAGGATAGTGCTGACAGATCAACTTCCAATCCGCAGCGTGGAATTGATAAACAGATTTCGGATTTCAAAACATACTTTCGCTTTGTAGATACAAATTACATATTAGTAAATATATATTGGAAATTCTATTTGACATAATCTTTCTAATCTATCATAATCTAATAATGACGTTTCTGCCCCCCCCCTCTGCCGCAGAGCAGCGTGAAATTGATAAACAGATTTCGGATTTCAAAACATACTTTCGCTTTGTAGTAAATATATATCGGAAATTCTATTTGACATAATCAAAAGTTCAAGCTTACTTTTGTAAAATTGCTCTAACAGTCTGCAAAAAATAATAAGCCGGATCCAATTCGAAGATTAAGGAACAACGCAATCTGTAACATTAACTGAATTAGATAACTTTAGCTTAGCGTATAACTCCGTTACACATTAAACTCGCATGCGCACAAACATATTCGCAGCTGTAAGGGTCTTATGCGCTCTCGTAAACGCCTGTGCGCATGCGTGAACGCGACGCATGCGCAGAAAGTTTGTAGCTTTGAGGTCCGGATTATGGGTGTCCGAATTAACGACTTTTGACTGTAGAAAATTATGTTTGAACAACCAATGAGATGAAATTATGCTTTAGTGATAACTCGGTAGCAAAATAGCGATGCAGACATCCATTCCGATATGTTTAGCAATTTTTATATAAATTATAATAATGACCTGAAATAGTTATTTACTCTTATGCTTCCATTCAGTCATGTTTAGCCTTTTTTATATAAATTATAATAATAAAAAAGTATTACATGAAAATAACCTTTCATCTAAATTAAAACATCAATCTTAGATAGATATTTACTATTATAACTTCCTTCTTGCATTAGGGTTGCCGCAACTATTTTTGGCAGCACTAGCATCAACAATAGTTTGGCGATTTTTGACGGCCCTCAAAACCAAATAGTACCAATAATATATATAGATATATAAGTGTGTGTGTGTAATAAAAACATAACACACTGAGACATAGAAATACTGATGGCATACATACTTGATACTTAGAATTCATAATGATTAAGAAACTTGGCAGTCGAGGCAGTTTTAATTTCATTTTTATTTAAATTTACATTTATAGCCACAGTTCACTTGACACTCTAATCGTGCCTATTTTCAGAACATATACAGTTTTTAATACTATTGTGATAGGAAGACAACACAGCAAAATGAAATGGCAGCCAAGCAGCAACAGAGATGCAAGCGAAGTAAGCATTTATTTAATATGGCAGCTCACCAAAGAGGAAGGTTTTGATTTACATTAGAATGGTTTCAGTTCTTAGAGTTAAGTTTCAGAAAAACTACATCATCAGCATTATCCAAGCTTTGTATCATAGATTAATCTAAAACTGACGCAATCCAGAAATGTTATTATTTTCAGATAAAGAAGAAATAACCAAATTAAAAATGAGGAATTAAGATGCTATTATTATATTAAATTATAAAGCTGATTTACATATTTTTTATCTTACACACACGCACATATATATATATATATATATATACCGTATTTGACGGCATATAAGACGCACTTTTTTTCCTAAATTTGGTCTCAAAAAAAGTTATCTGCATCTTATACGTGAAAGACACAGGTTAACTTTCAATACTGAATGCTATTTTTAGCCCGGATAAAGATCTAGACATACATAACTTTTTCTACATCTACATGCGTGTGGCCTTCTAAATAAGGGTGCGTCTTATATGCCAGTGCCTCTTATATGCCGTCAAATACGGTATATTATTTTTGTAATTTTTCTTTCAACATTTACAGAATTCTAATTCTACATACATTTATAGAATTTTTCAAAATTTATTTATTTGAATTGTAATTTTTGGTCTTTGTGAAAAATTACTTTTAAATTTCGAAGTACCAGATAATAAAAATAATCAAGATGTTCTGACTTATTGTGATGGTTTTAAGTGATACACAATAGAAATTAGAGTATTCATAAAAACGTTCCCTCACTAAGATAATGCAATTTTCCCAATAAAGTTGTAAACTAAAAAATGTGGGTATTTCTTTATCAAAACTGAATAAGCTTTAAGAAACATTTTATATTTACATTGTACAAATTCCAGGATTATGTTTGTTCATTTTAGTAGCAAAGCATAGTGGCCACTTTAATAAAGAAAAACCAAAAAGTAAATTAAGACAGTCATGAACAATCAAATGTTCATTTCAAATCATTTAATCAATTATTTGTAAAAATACTTCATATTTTTTTTAAATATTAATTCAGATCTATTAAATGTACAATTAAATTATAATACTCTTAAGCCACCTAAAATATGCAGATAGTGGGGTATAATTTGCAGATCTATAGCTAGATATTGCAGATATATCTTTTGGTTCAAAGAATTCTTTAAAATATGAGACTTTATAATGAAAAAGGAAGATTGATATTTTAAGATTAGTACAACAGAGGTAATCCATTAATTTTCAACACTAAGATTTATAATCAACTATAATAATTTTAATTTAGAAAAGGAAGTAACCTTGTTCTGCTATCGGTTTGAATAAAACTTTGTCGATTTCAAGGATGATCAAATCAGATCTACTGAAGAACAGGGAAGAAAAAAGAAATTCTTCAGAAGGAAGGCGGGAAAGAAGAAAAGGAAAAAAAAAAAAAAAAAATTTGAAAAAGAGATTTTTTGAAAAGGATTTATTTTTGAAATTACACACAATAAAAATTTCACATATTTAATAAAAGGACCATAGACATTTTTAAGGAAGCGAAGCTTATTATCACATCATAAAATGTTTCAATTTAATTACGTATTAAACTTAAATTATGAACACCATATTTCTTGACAAACTAGCATATTTCAGTTTGAATAGAGTAATATTTGCTATAATTTGATTTCATTACGATTATGATCATTTACTTAAGCACTTTTCCTTATATAACACAGCTTAACTAGTATAAATACTATAAGTATTTTTATTTTATATAACTCCGAGCTGTAAAATTTCTATCTTAATATTATGTTAAATTTATATTTCCACTTTTGCAAGTTCAATCTTGCACATCAGTTACATGAAGTGAGAATGAGAATAAAAGCGCTGACACAGTTATGGGATATTTTAAAAAAATAACACTCAACCTTACTTTTTTTCGTTAGGCTCAATAAGTAAAATATATTTTACTGCAGTTTATACATGGATTGAATGGCGATATCTGACACTTTCGTAACAAAGCAAATAAACCTGTTATTTCAAATGTTTTGATTTAAAATAAAATCTCATGTTTATTTTATTTTGAAATACCTTAATTAACACATGACAATTTTCAAAATATTTTCATAATTATGAATGAATTTCCAATAAGAAAATTTTTGTGATCAATACCGTACATCTGAAATCTTAAATTGATCAGTTTCTACTAAAAGTAAAAATGGTATACTCTGATTAAACAAAGAACATCCTAAAATCAGCAAATCAGTATACAAATTTTATATTCACCTCGATGTCAACAAGCGCAGGTCGTCGCCTAGAAACCAGAAAATGGCGTTTACTTCATTATCCAAGGGCAACGGTTGCTAACCAGATTGCACCAAAACATATGTAATCTTCCTCGGTAAATGCCGGAACAATTAAAATGTAAATAAACAATATATAAAATTAAATAAACAGTTTATTTATTTAATTATACCTTTATTTCATGCTATTTAGCACGTTCCCCTTAACAAACGTCATAAAATAGAAGAACTAAACTTCCTCGCGTAATCGTACACTCTACAAAGTAAGTGATTAACCATAACAAAATTGCCATCTGTTGTTCATTACCTGGTCTTAGCTTTCAGCTGTTTACAAGGGCACTCAGAAAATTTTTTTTAAAAATCTCAAAGAGATTTGGGCGTTTTAAAATCGCCCAAAAACATTTTTTAAGGATTTTTACGCTCTTGCTGAGCTATCAGTCGACTAGTCTGCTTTGCATTCATTTCTGCTAGCTTCGTCACTGAACACCATTTCTTCTTTCTTACGCTATATACAACGCTACAGAAAAATTACAAAAATTTTAAAAGCACCATATGCTTAGAATTCCCGATGCACTGTTTAGTGTTGTTGCATTTTTTTCGTAAGTCATGATATCAATGTTCGGTTTTCTTAGTCAGTACACTTGCAAAAGATTTTTTAGTCCAAAGGAGCGTTATTAGCGAGCATTGTGTTGAATCCACGGAGCATAAAGTCTGAAGCACTTTTCAAATTGTTGCCACCAAATATTATCACCCTGTATTATATTTAAAGAAAGTAAATAGTGAGGACTTTTCATGAATGTGAGGTACGCGCGAGTACCACGTGCCTAGAAAAGTATTGATAACATTACATAGAAAAATAGCAGTTGTAATTGACATAGCCATATAGAATTAATAATGAGATTTAATCATGAAACGTAACATAGTTAGATACATTATAATGGCTTAAGATAGAGCAGTCCCAACACAGACACGGATGCCCAACGGTGAAGCACAAGACTGAAGTCATTACACAGACTGATTGCCGGGAAAAACGCGTCTCTCCCCGTCAGCCCGTACGGTTGCCATATAGGTTTACTTTCTTTGTTTACTGTTTCGCCAATTGAAGGTTTTCTATAGAGTTTTTAGGGGCCACCAGCGGCCGAGCGGTAAAGTCGCTGAACACTGGTAGTTCGGCCAGAGTTTCGAATTCTGCGAACGGGCTGGCTGCATGGGCGTTTTCGTGGTTTTTCCCATGTGTAACGTGTATACGAGCCAGTTTCCCTTGGAACGTCCTCCACGAAGGCATCTCTCCCCTTAGGCAGATAGCCCTAGTGTGCTTTGCCGTAATCTCAATAAACCAAACCAAACTCTGTAGTTTTTGAGTTTGTATCGCCTGTTTGGCGCTGCTGCTGCAAAGGTATGCATGTTTTAACAATGGTATTTGTGGTGTTGCTATGGAAACACCGTACAAAGTTTTGTGAGTTCTGCGCATGCCAGCCTTGAATGAGCGGCAGATGATGAGGAGAGAGCGACGTGCATGAAGCGGCAATTCTCCTTCTCATCGGAATGTTATTATTGATGTGTTAAATCAAGTTTATATATTTTATACTTGTGTCTTGCCACATCATGGAACCCCTACATTCGTGACCAACGTTGGACAACGCACATCTTTTGATCGTTTCTTCGAATTTGTACAAAATATGAAAACGGAACTAAACAAAAACATCATGAACAATGGATGAAATATCAGCAGTGAAAATACCTCCTTTCATTAGTTCTGATCCATCTCTATGGTTCACGATGGTGGAATCTGCTTTTGAATTAGCGGTTCCAAAGGCTATAACAGAATCCAGAATCAAGTATAACCACTGCGTGGGGCATTTACCTCCCGACATCGCTATGACCGTAAGGGATATCATCATTTCTCTTTACCAAACGGATCCATATGGGAAACTGAAGAATGAAGTCATTTCTTGCTGTGGTGAAAGTAATGCGCAAGAAATACGTCGCTTACTTGCCGGTGAGTAACTAGGAGATCAAAAGCCTGTATGAACTTCTTACGCGTTATGCAAGCAGCGTAGCTGAAAATCATCACGTGACGGATACTTTTGTTTTGGAATTATTTCTGCAGCAACTATCTACAAATGTCCAATTTATTTTAGCATCAATCACCCCTCTAACCACACAAAAGGCTGCTGAAATAGCGGATAAAATACTGGAAGTGTCATCTGCTCGGGTAAGCGTAGTGTAAAGTATAGCACTGTTCATTTACATTCAACCAGTGTAATATTAATTTCCTTTTTAGTTTTGCTTGAGTGGCAACAGCTGTAAAATGTTATTAAGTTTGTAAAATAAACATGTTTGGTTGTGTTTAAATTTTTGAGAGATTATTTAGGTAGAAATGAGTTGATGTATGGACAAATGTTGTGCATTTGTTGTCGTATCTAACATTTGGTGACCCTCAGTACGTGATTAAATATAAGAGGTGAGTACTTTATATAAGAAATAATTAATTGAATTTTGGTTTTGGTTTGCAATGGAGCATCTTGTTAAGAAGCGATCTCCGTTGCGAACATCGTTTACTAAAACATATAAAAGTTTAATGTCTCTGTTTGATGAGGAAAATGTAGAAATAAATTATGTTAAGATTAAATTAGCTACTTTAGAACGCATTAGGGCTAGTTTAATGATTCTTGATAACGAAATTTTAGAACTTGCCTTGAGTGCAAACGATAATGGTAAAAGTTATTCTGATGAATTTGAATCTGTAGAAGAATATAAAGTCAAATTTGATAAAGCTATAGTTTGTGTCAATTCTTTTATAGAAAGTAAATCACAACCAAACAGGAATATATTAATTAATGAGAAATCAAAAATAAAACTTCCCAAACTTGAACGAATAAAATTTAGCGGTGAAGTCAAAGAATGGTTATGTTTCTGGAGTCAGTTTAAACGAATTCACGGTCTTAAAGAAATGGAATTGGAAGAAAAATTCCAATATTTAATACAAGGTATGTCGCCAGGTACATGAGCGAAAGAGATAATCGATAGCTATCCACCTACGGCAGAAAATTATTCAAAAGCGATTGAAAGCCTCAAAGCAAGATATGGCCGTGAGGAATTGTTAGTGGAATACTATGTTCGTGACTATTAACTTTAGTTCTTAAAAATGCTACCAAGGCTTAGTATCACTCAATTATATGATAAACTTGAATCCCACCTCAGATCCTTAGAATCCATTCAGATGACATCAGACAAATATTCTGCAATGCTCTTCCCCCTTGTGGAGTCGTGTATTCCAGAAGACGCGTTGAGAGTTTGGTTGAGAAACTCAGTAAATGAAGAGAAATCATAGGGTAAGGCTGAGCCAACTTTTGAATTTTCTAAGGGCTGAGGTCGAAGGGGAAGAAAGAATAGCAAAGTCAGGCATGAAGCAAAGTGATCCCTATAGAAAAGTTCATAAGGATAGGGAAGATATTACTATACCTACTGCAAGCAACTTGTTTTCGGCAGCAAAAGAAATAAACAACAATAATGTTGTAAATTGTATTTTCTGTGAAAAATCTCATCAAAGCAAAGATTCCTACAAAGCACAAAGTTTAAGTCATGATGAAAAATTGAAAATTATGAAAGAGAAAAAATGTTGCTTTACGTGTTTGGAAACAAACCATCGAGCTAAAGAATTAAGTAAGTTAAAGTTCAAAGCGCATGTTTTGTAGTAGGAAGCATTACATTGTTTGTTGTCCAGAATTTAAGCAGAAATCAAAAGTTCCTGTCGAGTGCAATCAAGAAAATTGTGAAATTAGCACTCTTTCTTCAACAGCCATTTCAGGAAGAGTTTTGCTTTAAACTTTAGTAGTTGCCATTCAACATGAAGGAAAGAAACTTCATCTTCGAGCGTTGATCGATACTCGATCTGAATACTCCTCTATTTTAAAATCAACAGTAGAATCCTTAGGAATAAGATCAGAAGCTCATAAAAAATTAACACATGTTGTGTATGGAGGAAAGACATCTGACATGAATCATAAATGTTATAAAATAACTGCTGAGAATCTGCATACTGGTTATAGCTTCAAGATTCCTGTGTTAGATCAGCCTATTATTTGTGGATCTATACCTAGTCTACAGAAAGGACCTTGGATATAAGAATTAGCTGGAAAGGGAATTCATATCATAGATGTTGATTGTGTCAACCCACAAATTGATCTTTTGATAGGCTCAGACTTTGCAGGAAATATTTATACAGGAAAAATACAGGAATTAAGTACAGGCATTTTTGCCATGGAAACTCTGCTCGGATGGGTTTTGATGGGTAAATCGCCAACAACTGGAGATGAAAATTCTATTACTGCTGTTGTTACGTCCCTCTTAATTCACAATGAAGATATCAGAAACCTTTGGGAATTGGAAGCCATTAGCATTACAGATCCTTTTGAATTGAAATCTAGAAGTGAAATTGATAAGGTCGTAAATGATCATTTTATACCAAATTTAAGAGAAGATGAAGATGCTAATTATTTTAAATGTTTAAAAGGTCAAGAAAAAGAAGTACCGAATGATGTGAAGAAAGGAATGTCCTTTTTGAAGAAGTTTAGGAATGATCCAAACCTGGATGAGAATAAGAAAATTTTAAAAGAGAGATTATTTTAGATAAGAAGTGTAAAGTAAAAGATAAAAATCATGAGATTCCGACTTATGAAGAAACAGATATTGCAGTGTCAAGAGATGATCAGAAAGATATGAAAAGGCAAGAATTGTTTGAACGTAAGTATATTTCCCCATCTGAAGAGCTAAATTCAAAATTCATTAAAAGATATCCAAAGATAATTGAAGATTTTCTCAGACGTGTTGATAATAAAAGAAAGAAGAAGCGTGAAGAATACGTTGAAAGAATAAAAAGGAAGAAAGAGCAGAAAAGAGAAGATCTAAAACGTTTGAAAGATTTAAAGAGAAAATAACTTGAAGAAATTTTTTAAAGTTGAAAGAAGAGCCTGGTAAACACGAATTGAACCTTAACGAAAATGATATTGAAAGTGATTTTGAACCTGAAAAACTTGACCAGAAAGCGAAAGAGCTTTTTAATGATGATTATTATGTTATTCAAGAAGAAGGATGTCCAAAAGTTCCATATGATGAGGATCCCGATAATGAAGATAGGAACCATTGGATTGGACCAAGTAAAAGTGATGAGTGTGGTGAAGAACAGCTTGAAGAAAGTACTTCTGAAACATCCGGTGTTGAGATTACAAATTCCAAAATTTATTCTAAATCGCAGGTTAAGAAAGAAATGAATGAGTCAACTCACACAGGAAGGATAAAAGTTAGAAAGAAATCCTTGTTTGATAAAGTAATTTCTAACGCTAAATCAGTTTTTGATCCAGATGGTAAAACGTTTAATAACTATTTGGATGAGTGCTATAGATTAGATTATGAAGTGGTCGAGCTATAAAAGTGCCTTCTAAATTCAAGGACTTTAAAATAAACTTTTAAGTGAACTTTAGAATAGACTTTTACGTGAACTTTAAAATAGACCTTTCAGTGAACTTTAAAATAGACTTTTAAGTGAACTTCAAAATGGAATTTTATGTTAACTTTTAGTTAATTAAATATTTGTTTTGATAAAAATCGTTTTATCAAAAGGTGAGAGTATGTAAAGTATAGCATTGTTCATCTACATTCAACCAGTGT